AGGAACCCCTATACATAGCTTGCTTTAATTAGGCTATCAGACCCCCAAATTCAATCTTTTAAGGCCTCAACATTTTGAAATTAAATGCCAGCTCCAGCAGACCAGATGCCCCCCAGCCTACTTAACAGAGAGAAACAAAAAGGCTACCTGATAAAAACAACAGCTTTCTTCTGTCCCAGGGGATAGCTGGTGCTCTGTGCTACACGAAGCTTGGGAAGATAGGTTAGCAATAAAGCAAATGATGTGCTATAGCTGAGGAAGGCCTCCTACCTAGCTCAATATCAAGACTTCCAGTTAAAAAAGGTGTGCCAGAAGAAATCCCGACTTGCTGCAACTCGCGGGAGCTAGATGTGCAGACTGTAGCAGCACTGCAGGCTGAGGCGGACAAGCGGCAACTACTCCAGAACAAAGACACTAATATATTCATTGTATATGATTATTATTAACATATGATATCCGCAATGAGCCTGATGTGGTCTGGATTTTGTATTTAGTACTTATGCTCTTAAAATTTCTTCCATATTCATACTGTTAATTTTGCAACTGGAATAGGTCTAGAAGAGAAATGGAAAGGTGGAGGGAGAAGGTTTCTCCAGGCATAAGCACAGCTGCAGAACAAGATGTGGCGCAAAGGGAGAGGCTGGTGGTTGCCATGACATTCTCTGGAAGAGGAATGAAACTGGGATCAGATTGCCACAGGGGAGGGCCTCAGCAGTCCCCTCCTTTGAACACGAAGTTGTAGGAGGCAATTAAGAGGAGACTAGAGTGAAAGAGATCTAGTCTGTTAATTCACTCCACTTTGCAGCTTCAATTAACATTTACTGTTTTTCTTACGATCAAGCTCTGTGCTGAGTCTTGGGCATATAAAAATGAGTAAAATGTGCTTCCTACCTTGGTGGAGCTCACAATCTATCTCAAAAACCTTGTAAATGAAGTTATAACAAAGCATAATTAATGTTATATTAAGTTACATACCTGAACTATGAGAGCAATATGAAGGTTGGGGAATACCTCAGAAAGGCGATGCCTGAGTGAGAGAGGAGTTAAGAGCATCGTCTAGACAAAGGCAACACGAGCAAAAGTTTAGGCTTGAAAGGGCCTAGTAGTCTGGAGAATAGCCCCAGGAGGCTGGTGTGGAATTTCAACTGTAAGACATTCTACATTGTCTTGTATTCTATATTTTATGAGCAAGGGCCTAAGACTATTTATTCCAAAAGTGTCCATGAGTGAATATCTAATTGGAATCCAAAAACCTAAAAGTTTAATAAGTATTCAGAGTCTACTTAAAACAAGTTCTTTTAAATCTGGGATTCAGAACTTTTTGTTATTTTTAAAAAAAACCCTAATTACACTAACTTGAGATGCTAAAATACAGAAAAGTTTAACTCCATCTGTTATCATTTTAACATGAACATATTTATAGGAAATAAGTCTTAGAATCTTTTCAATAAAAAGTATTACTGTTAATAATATAAGTAATTAAAATATATTATTTATCCCTTTTCTTTCCATGTCTCCTTGAGGAAACAAGGAAAGGGCAAAAGAACAGAAACAACTGAAATATGTAACCAGATTCAGAACCTCTGCAACACAGAGGGATTAACAGTTACTAAGCCTTGTGCCACACACATTGGGGAACACAAAGTTTCTGCTGGAGCACAGGGGTTGGCAAACTTTTTCTCTATAGGGCCAGATCTGCCACTGTAGCACAAAAGCATGTACATGAATGGAAGCGACCTAATTCGGCCCACAGGCCTTAGTGTGGTGACCCCTGATCTAGAAATATAGGTCTTTTAAAGAGTTGATAACAAGGGTAGCATGGGATTCTGTAACAGGGGAACCTAACTTGGTTTTAAGGAAGTGACTTTAAATAAAGACCTTAAAAGTAAGGATGAGTTAGTTCAGCAGAGGAGCTGGTTTCTTGGGGTTGGTGGGGGGAGAGGTGATGCTGGAGAAGAGCACTTCCAGCACAAGGTGTGCACTGTGGCAGGAACAGAGAGGGCCAGTTTGATTAGGGAGAGGGAAGATGCATCACAAGTCAGCGGTGAAGTCATAAGGATCTTTGTAAGGTAAGTTAAGGATTTTAGACTTTATCCTAATGATGCTAGGAAGCCACTGCAGGGTTTTAAACAGAGACTTGACTGAATTTACTTTCTACCTCAACAAATACTTATTTAATGAGTGCCTACCACATGCCAGGCATGCACAAGACAAGGTCCTTACCCTAGGGTATCTGTATTCTGGTGCAGGAGACCAACGACAAATAAATAAACCTTGCTATAAGTACTGGGAAAGAAATACACACCTTCACTTCCAAGAGAGTGAGTTTAGTTAGGCTGAGATGTCAAGGATGGGTAGATGTGACCTGCAGAGGCAGGGGAAGAGGATCCAGTTGAAGAAGTGGACAGGAACTTGGTATGTCGTAGGCGATGTCCTAAGGCGAACGTGACTAGAGCATGGTTGAAGGCAACAGTATACCAGGGAGCATGGGCATGCTCAGACGTGGGCCATGGAAAGCCACTGGATAGTTTTAAGTACGGAAATGACGTGATCTGCCCTCCTGATCCTGCTACGTGGAGGATGGATTACAGGAAGATTTGAGTGGAAACAGGGAAAGCTGAGGATATTACTGTGGTAGCCCAGGCAAAAGATGATGGTGGCTTAGAATAGGGTGGTAGCAGTGTTGATGGAGAATAGAAGGCAGATTAGACATATATTTTGGAGGTGGAAGTGAAAGGACTTACTGAAAGACTGGGGAGGAGGGGTAGTAAACAACAAAAATCAAATATGATTCTCAGAGGTCTGGTTTTGGTACCTATGTGGACAGGAATACCACTTAGTGCAATGGGGAAGACCAGGTTTGGAATGATGGGAAAACCAAAATTTTCGTTTGGTTATGTTAGCTTTGGGGTGCCTAAGAAATATCCAAATGAAGATAATTAAACAGGCATTTTGACTCATGATTCTGGAACATAGAAGAGAGGGCTGGGCTAAAGATTTAAACTTGAGAATTGCCAGCTTTCAGATGGTAATTAAAGTGGCAGGACTGGGTCACCTAAAGGAAGCACGTACAACATTCAGGATTAAACCCTGAGAGAAATCCAACATTTAGACGTTAAGTAGAGAACAAAAGTGGCCAAAAAGAGACTGAGAAGGAACAGCCAGAGAAATGGAGAAAATCCAGGAGTGAAGTGTCAATAAGCCAAGACAGAAGAGTTTCAAGAAAGGAGCAACTGTGTTGAATTTTGCAGAGTCTGAGGAAGATGAAAACAAAGTATCTACCGGATTTAGCTACATAGAAGTCACTGGCAACCTTGACAAAAGCAATTTCAATGGAGTGGTCAGAAGAGAAGTCAGATTGGTACAGCCTGAAGAGTGACGTAAGAGGTAAGAACCTTGAACTGGCATCGGAAGAAATTTGGCTATGATGGGAAATTCTTAAAAATTAGGATGGTAATTGGAGAGGGACATGAGGGACACCAGAACATAATTTGTATGCTGATAGGAAGAGAGTTTTATGGAGATTGATTGTATTAGGAGATGATGGGGAAGAAGTCAAGGGCAGGATTGATGGTGGTGCCATTTACTGAGACCAAGAACACAGAATGAAGGGCAACTTTATTTGCCTCCAAAGATCACGTTTCCACCACACTAGGTAGGCTTTCTTTCTTGTGAAGAAGGCCTTGTGAAGGAGAACTTTAAAATGTGACTAAGCCTCTCCAGACTGCACCACTTCCTGATGTACTTAATCTCCTGATGAGGTTAAAACCTCTTAGAGAGTAACAAGACTACACTAATCTAATCTGGTAGCCACACAAGCCAACCGAATAAAAATGGACTTGTACTGGTGGAAGGGACAGTCATGGAAAAGGGCCCTAAATTCACAGCTGATGAGAGAGCAATCATGCTTTTGTAATCAAAACACTGAAGACTTACGAACTGGTAACTTCCAGATAAACAGTGGAACCAAGCTTTTTTCAAAATAAGTTAATCAAACTCCAGTATTGTTTACACTCTCTATGTTCAATAATAGTGGTGTAGCTTTGTACTCTCTTGCTATTTCTGATATTACAGTGAATTTCCATGGAAGTATTTTTGGAGAGTTTAGGCCTCCTCCTAAAGGAAAATAAGTATCAGTTCTTGCAAAAACCCAGGGAAATGAACTGCTCCAGCTGGTTCAAGGGGGTGTCTGAGGAGAAAGGCAGAAACTCGAAGATAAAGTTTGACTTAAAAACCAACTCATTCTGATGTTCGTGGTAAGCATTTGGCATATGTTTGAGGAAATGAATCTATGGAGAATGGACGGGCTTCAGGTACTTCAAAACTTTCGATCTTTAGAAAGGGATGAAGGATACAGCTATCTACAAAAGTTCCAATTGTATTATTCAACAGTATGGAAAGAGCTGGAATTTGGCATTGCCCTCTAGCCTGGTGGCCGAGCTGCTGAAAGCTCCGTAGGATTCACATCCCCAAAACAAACAATTTGATCACCTGATCCGGCTCAGAAGCCCCAGGTCCCTTCCATCCCCAATCCTTTCGCGTGGCCCAGTTTTCAGAAGCTGCGGAAAGGACGGGATCCCAGGGAAGCCTGTTGATTCAACAGGCCACTCAATTCGCGGGTTCCGGATGCTACCGGCTTGGGAAAAGCCTTGAGACTGTGAGCAACTACCCCGCTTTCCTCCCTCGTCTCCCCCGCATAGAGCAGGGAAGGCCAGGGCCCCCCTTCTTCCCGCATACGGCTCCCCAGTGCCTCTTCCCTTACAGGGCCAGGCCCTAGGAGCCCGGTTCCCTACCTGACCCATGCGAGGAACGCGCTCTCCAGTCCGAACTTTACCTGCCTGAAGCCCGTCGCTTCTCCGGTGCGCTAAGCCCCCACCGAGGAAAATGGAGTCGTCGAACCGAGACTGGGAAAGGATAGTACGGACCCACCGCACTGGCCGTCCGCCGCCACCGCCGCCGCTGCTGCGTCAACGTGCTACGTCAGATCCGGCTCCCTGTCACTGGGAGTGGGCGGGCCATTTCTTGTTCTAGACTACCGTGGGGCCTTCGTCCAGGGGTGCGGAAGCTGGCAGAAGCGGTCCAGAAAGGCAGCTGTTACAGACTCCACCCCAAACATAGCTAGGGGCCGTAAGTAACCAAGGCCGGCGTGTTCCTCAGGCCGCTCTAGCCAAAGGAACCATAAACATCAGATCAAGTCTTCCTCATTTCCTCCTCTCTGTGGCTCCGCCTCCAGCTTCCGGTTCCGGGGAGGGGCCGAGTTGTCTTCGAGGTTTAGGGGATTCGCGATCCAGCTAGAATGGCTGTCGTACCGCTGCTGCTGTTTGGGGGTTTTTGGGGCGCTGTGGGAGCGTCCAATCTGGCTGTCGTTACTTGCGGCTCTGTGGTGAAGCTTCTCAATACGCGCCACAACGTCCGACTGCACTCGCACGACGTGCGCTATGGGTCAGGTACTGCGCGGGACGGAGTTCGGGTGGGCTGAGGAGGCCTGGTAGGCTTTGGAGGGGGCGGAGCCTACAGAAAATGTGAGGGTGTGGTCTGGGAAGGTTAGGGGTACTCTGGGGAGGTTCCTGAGGTCTAGAGGCGGAGAGTCGAAGTGAGTTCTACGGCTTCCTAATCATAATACCAGCTAATATTTGGTGAGTTACCGGCCAGGCACATTCCAAATGTCCTTTTATCCGAATTTTAACATTCTTGTGAGGTAGGTACTGTTGTCATCCTCATTTTGCAGATGAGGAAACAGACTCAGAGAAATTAAATCGCTTACTCAAGGCTTTGCAGCTGTTGAATGACAGAATCAAGGTTCTATCCAAATCTGTCCAGGTTCAAAGCCTGCTTTCAGCTGCTCCGGTATGGCACTACTAAGTGTGGGAGAGACAGACGTAGAAAAAAATTACAGTAAGTGCTGTATCTCTGAAGTTTTAAACTCCAGGAGCTTACTCTTTGACTACAACCTTCTGTCTTCTAGCTGTTTTGCATCGTACACTTGCTCTTCAACTCCTGTTTTTGACCCCTTTTTGCTCAAACCTTAACCTTGTGAAGAAGTGACAGGAATCGCAGAGAAAGTGCTTTTTACCGTATGAAAATTAAATGCTTAGTAATCAATTATTTCTGGGTTCATTCATTCAGCCTAGATTTATTTTGTGCCTAGTACTGTTCTCAGTACAGAAGATGCCATAGTGAATCCAATCAAGCAAGTTGCAAGACAATAAAAACAGAAAAAAAGAGAGAAAAGTTCAGCTAATGAGATGTGAGAAGTATTTAAGGTAACTGATTTTTATCTTGGGTGACTGATGTTGTTTACTGAGGGAGGAATGAGTTCTCTCAGGTGGGCAACTTTGTGGTTCTTGATTTCCAAAACCTGTCTGAGCAGTTTGACTAGGAAAAGGAACTGAGTTATCATTGGGATGTCTTAATAATCCTAGCAACATTCAGTGAACACCTACTGTGTGTCAGGCTTATTACTTTTTTTTTTTTTTTTTTTTTTGAGACAGAGTCTCACTTTGTTGCCCTGGCTAAAGTGAATGCTGTGGCGTCAGCCTAGCTCACAGCAACCTCAAACTCCTGGGCTCAAGCAATCATTCTGCCTCAGCCTCCCGAGTAGCTGGGACTACAGGCATGCGCCACCATGCCTGGCTAATTTTTTCTATATATATATTTTTTTAGTTGTCCAGATAATTTCTTACTATTTTTTGGTAGAGACGGGGTCTCACTCTTGCTCCGGCTGGTCTAGAACTCCTGACCTTGAGCGATCCACCCGCCTCATGCTAGGATTACAGGCGTGAGCCACCGCGCCCGGCCTAGGCTTATTATTTTTTAAGCTGATCTCGTTTCCTACTTTGGATCTACTGAATTAGAATGGAGGTGTTCCCATAATAATTAAAAATAGAAAATAAAATTTAAAAAAAAGAATGCAGGTGGAGAGAGACTTGGCAGTAGGAATATGTAGGTTTAAAAAGCTCTTTGGGTGGTTCTGTTGTGCAGCCAGATTTGGGAACCAGGTTTAGTCTGAAGTTCAGAAGAAGGATCTGTGCTGAGCTTGAGATACAGAGTTAATTTTTTTTAATATTTTTTTTAATTGGCTAGTTGATTCAGCAGGCGAGTTCAGAGTTAAATATAACATCATTGTACAGATAGTGACTGAGGATGTGTTGGTAGTAGATGAAATTGCCCAGGATGAACTGTGGTTCTTAATCTGGTGTCAGTTTTAATCACTTGAGAAACTTGTTAAAAATACGGAAGCTTTTGTCCTGACCCCCAACAATTGTTTAAGAACTACTGATAGAAACAGATAAGGGGCAGGGTGCAGTGGCTCACACCTGCAATCCTAGCACTCTGGGTGGCTGAGGCCGAGGTGGGGGGATCGCTTGAGGTCAGGAGTTCAAGACCAGCCTGAGCAAGAGCAAGACCCCATTGCTACTAAAAATAGAAAAGTTAGCTGGGCGTGGTGGCATGCACTTGTAATCCCAGCTGCTCAGGAGGCTGAGGCAGGAGGATCCCTTGAGCCCAGAAGGTTGAGGTTGCTGTGAGCTAGGATGATGCCAGTGCACTCTACCCGGGGTGACAAAGTGAGACTCTGTCTCAAAAAAAAAAAAGAAAAAAAAAGAAACAGATAAGGGCCAGTTATAGAACTCCGGGTAATCCCAAGATATAATGATGATTGCGGGGAGGAAATGGAAGGTTGACTAGAAAGTGAAAAAGTGGTAGATAAAGACTAGTGAAAAAATACAATAAGAAAGTGAAAAAGTAGGAGATGAAATGTAGACCATGCTTTAGTGAAGCATGGCTTTGAGGACTGAGGGAGCTGTAACGCAGTAATCAGAAGTATGAAGGGAGAGTTGGTTAGCCTTCTTTTTCTTTTCTTTCATTTTTTTTTTTAAAGATATAATAAAGTCATGAGCTGAGTGGAGGGAACCAGTAGAGAGGAGCTGATAGTTTGCTGCATTCGCTCAGATAACTAGCACAAGGCATAATGTGTTACATGGTAAAAGGGAAGTATCAAAATGCTGTGGTCAGGCAAGGCCATGGAACTGAAGGCAAAGCTGAGAGGAAAGTATGTGGGAAATATGAGGTGCCTTCGAAGAACTGGGTAGTGAATGAGGCCTAGGGAAGAGACTATCCCTAAAGTATATGAGAGAGTTGGGGAAACTGGACAGGAAATAAAGATGACCTAAGTGGGACGTCAAGTGGTGGAGTGGTTGAGTGCTATTTCTAGAGTTAGGCTGCCTATGTTCAGCCCCAGCCTTATTTCATAGAGCTGTGTGACCTTGGGCATGCTACTCAGCCTATCCAGCACTCCAGTGTAAAATGAGGATAATGATAACAGTACCTACCTCAGAGAACAGATGTGTGTGTCAAATAAGAATATTCAAGCAAAGGACTTACGTCAGTGCCTGTTACTATTTGTGTATTTTTCTTTTTAAGCCTATAGCTACATATTTATTTTATATGTATCAGTATTTTATGACCTGCAGAAATGTACCCCTTAAGGCAGGATTAACCAAATTTAGATAATCCAGGAATACTTTTTCTTTTTTTTTTGAGACAGAGGCTCACTCTGCTGCCTGGGCTAGAGTGCTGTGGCGTCAGCCTAGCTCACAGCAACCTCAAACTCCTGGGCTCAAGCAATCCTTCTGCCTCAGCCTCCCGAGTAGCTGGGACTACAGCCGTGTGCCACCACGCCCGGCTAATTTTTTTTTCTATATATTTTTAGTTGTCCAGCTAATTTCTTTATATTTTTAGTAGAGACGGGGTCTTGCTCTTGCTAAGGCTCGTTTTAGGCTTCTGAGCTCAAACAATCCTCCTGACTCGGCCTCCCAGAGTGCTAGGATTACAGGCATGAGCCACCTCGCCCAGCATTATTTGTTCATTTCTTGTGTTTGAAGTACACTTTGATGACATCTTTGGCCTGAGATTCTTTGCTGTAGTTCTTAACTATGACATGACTGCAACCAACCACTTTATGGGATTTTCCCTGTCAGTTTTACAGAGGCCTAACCATTTTCCTAGTTTCTTATGATCATCAATGTTAATTAGGCCGTTTGCTGTTTAGCACAAAGAGCCTTCACCATCTTGATGTACGAAGGCTCATCACAGTTGGATGTAAGCACACGAAGATGGGCTTGGGCCTTGTCTAAGGCTTTGGCAGCTTCGCACATCCCATATAGCCATCGTGGATGAGGATGTTCTTCAGCACCTCTTGTAAAGCATTATTAACATTCATTACACCTCCAGCAGCAGTGTCTTCCTTGGCCATGGTGGTGGGTTACAGGTGAAGCTGAATCTTGAATGCATCTGAGCCTCTGCCTCTGCGCAACTTATTGGCAGCAGGGAAAGCAAGTCTCCTTTCTTTCTTTAACTGCAGGTAGTGGTCAGCAGTCAGTGACAGGTGTAACCTCTGTGGATGACAGCAACAGTTACTGGAGGATACGAGGGAAGACCGCCACAGTGTGTGAAAGGGGAACCCCCATCAAGTGTGGCCAGCCCATCCGGCTGACACATGTCAACACTGGCCGAAACCTCCATAGTCACCACTTCACTTCACCTCTTTCTGGAAACCAGGTAAGGTGGCATCCAGCGGATCATTGCTGCTCTGAATTACTCAGTTGGGTTGTTGTTTGATTTCTTGGTTCTTAACCCTTTCTTTTCCAGGTGTAGATGTTCTCTTTTGTACAGACGTGCAGAAATGGCTCTCTTTTAAGTGTGAAGAAACTTGTTTATGATCAAAGTGGAGACTTTACATCTAGACCAAATCAAGAGATGGGGAAGAAAGACAGCATAGGTATATATCAGCGTATCATAAGTTCTGATAAATCCCATAATAAACCGAATTTTTTCCAAACTTGCAATAAGTTATTATTTTTTAATGATGCTAACTAGCCACATTAGGAAAATGGATTAGGTATTATACCACTTTTTAAAAAAATTTTTTTTAGTGACAGGGTCTTGCTCTGTTGCCCACGCTGGAGTGCAGTGGCCTTGAACTCCTGGGCTCAAGTGATCCTCCCACCTCAGCCTCTCAGGTAGCTGGGATTACAGGCATGTGTCACTGTAGCCAGCTATACCACTTTTTTAAGCTTTGAGCTTTCAGGGGATGTTGACCCCTTAATGACTTCTTCCCCCACCCCAGTCGAAAGTGTCCCCCCCCCTTTTTTTTTTTTGGTAGAGATTGGCATCTTGCTATGTTGCTCAGGCTGGTCTTGAACTCCTGGCCTCAAGCGATCCTCCCGCCTTGGCCTCCCAAAGTGCTGGGATTACAGGTGTGAGACACTGCCCACTGTGCTTGTCTAGTTTTCCCTATTAACATCTTACATTAGTAGGTAAATTTTCTACAGTTAATGAAGAAATTTATCAACTAAAATCCATAGTTTATTCTGATTTCTTTCGTTTTTACCTAATGTCATTTTTCCATTTCAGGATATCACATTACATTTAATTGTCATGTCTCATTTGGCTCCTTTTGACTGTGACAGTTTTTCAGACTTTCCTAATTTTTGAAGACTTTGACAGTTTTGAGGAGTTCTGGTGAGGTGTATTGTAGGATGCACCTCTATTGGAATTTGAGTGACATTTTTCTCATGATTAGATTGGGTTTATGAAGGGTTTTGGGAGGAAGATCACAGAGGTATGGTGCTATTTTCATCACGTCATATGAAGGGTCATACTATCTACATGATTTATGATTGTTGATAATAACTTGATTACCTGGCTAAAATAGTGTTTGTTGGATTTCTCCTATAAATTTACTCTTTTTATTTTCTCCCCTTTCGTACTATCATTTTTGAAGGAAGTCCCTGGTGTGCATTCCACACTTAAGGAATGGGGAGTGATGCTTCCCCTACTTTAGGGTGGAATATCTACATAATTTATTTGGGATTTCTTTCATATAGGGGATTTGTCTCTTCTCCCCAATTTATTCAGTCATTTATTTATATTAGTATGAGCTCATAGATATTTATTTTATACTTTGAGTTATAATCTAATACCACTGTCTTTATTTTGTTGCTCAAATTATTTCAACTTTGCCTCCCTCCCATTTTCAAGCCTGTGAGTCAGCCATGCTAATGTTACCACCTTCTGTGTTTTCCAGGAAGTGAGTGCTTTTGGTGAGGAAGGTGAAGGTGATTATCTGGATGACTGGACAGTGCTTTGTAATGGGCCCTACTGGGTGAGAGATGGTGAGGTGCGGTTCAAACATTCTTCTACTGAGGTACTGCTGTCTGTCACAGGAGAACAATATGGCCGACCCATCAGTGGACAAAAGGAGGTACATGGTATGGCCCAGCCAAGCCAGAACAACTACTGGAAAGCCATGGAAGGCATCTTCATGAAGCCCAGTGAGTTGCTGAAGGCAGAAGCCCACCATGCAGAGCTATGAATTTAGAGACTCTGAGCCACTGTCACCACACAGTGTTTATAGACATGATCTGCTGCTTCACCCTGGGGACCCTGCAGCAAGTTCCCTGGGCAGTGGCCATGTCACCACTGAGATCTAGATGCATGACAGAAAACAGTGGTTGTGTTTGGAAGCTTCAGCCCTTCACACTTTAATTGGTTGCTCTCCCAGATGTGAGTCAGTTCTTTCTGAGGACATGCTGGTGAAGGAACAGATGATTTTTATTCACATTGATAAAACATACTGAGGGGGACATCCCTCTTAGCTGGGAAACTTTTACTCCTCAAGAACTTGGCATTGTGGATTGTTAATGTGTGTGACTTTCCCCCTATTTCTCCAGTATGATTTTTAAAAAAAAGAATTTTACTATCAGTGACTGTGTCGTTATTTATCAGATGTGCTATTTCATGATTTGCTTAATCCTCAAGTCATAAGATAACTTTTGAGGTGCTGGGAACCTTCAACATGGCCCCCCAAGTTTTTTTGTTTTGTTTTGTTTTTGGTGGGGGGACAAGGACTCACTCTGTTGCCTGGGCTGGAGTAGTGCAGTGGCATCATCATAGCTCACTGCAACCTCAAATTCTTGGGCTCAAGCGATCCTCCTGCCTTAGCCTCCCAGGTAGCCGGGACTACAGGTGCACACCACCATCCCTGGCTAATTTTTAAATTTTTGTAGAGACAGGGTATTGCTCTGTTGCTCAGGCTGGTCTTGCTCCTGACCTCAAGTGATATTCCAACCTGGGCCTCTCAAAGTGCTAGGATTACAGGAGTGAGCTACTGTGCTGGGTCTTTTTTAAGGGCTTTATTTGCATCCAAACCTTTTTTCTCTCTACTTTCACTTCTCCCCAGCCACTTCATCTTTATTAGATTTTTTGACTAATTACGTCTAAGACCCTCAAAGAATACAGCATAATAAATAGCCAATGAAATATTTTGCTTTGGATCTGTTACTACAGATGAGAAAAAGGGTAGGGGTAGAAAGACCAACATGTATTCACTGCTAAATACTAGGCACCATATTATACATCATTTAATCTTCACAGAAATATAGGGTAGATATTAAAGTTTGACTAATGCACAACAGAAAAGTTGGGTAACTGCTTGAAATCTGAAAACTAGTAAATAATTTTGGGATAGGAATCCAGCTGTGTCTGGCTCATGTTCTTTTTACTGCACTATAATTGTGTTTAGCTCTTGGAAAACAAGTCTTGTTTTGATAAAGAGAGATATATCTTTCTCTCAAAAGGTGAATAGAAAACTTTTGTCCTCTGCTTACCTCATTTCCTCCTTAATTATGCCAGTTAATTCCAGAAAGTTTGTTCCCATAGCCTTTAATCATGGTAGTGGTAAACAGTGGTGGCTGCCATCTGCTGGAATTTCAGTGACTAGCAGCCTTTTTTATTTTTGGAAACTTGTGGGTTTTGTTCTTTGTTCTACTTGCTTTAAGTTGTTAATGTCGAACTTTATTTTTAAAGGAGAAGGAAGTAATTAATGTTGAACATTTACAGATGCCAGTTCTGTGCCAAACATGGCCATTTCTTTAAAAGACATGGTCTCTTTTACAAGGACTTGTGGTCTCAGTAAACTGAGCCTAGATTGCTTCCTCTGCCTCCCAGCCTTTTTTTTTTTTTGAGACAGAGTCTTACTCTGTTGCCCTGGCTAGAGTGAGTGCCGTGGCGTCAGCCTAGCTCACAGCAACCTCAAACTCCTGGGCTCAAGCAATCCTCCTGCCTCAGCCTCCCGAGTAGCTGGGACTACATGCACCACCATGCCTGGCTAATTTTTTCTATATATTTTTAGTTGTCCAGCTAATTTCTTTCTATTTTTTAGTAGAGACGGGCTCGCTCTTGCTCAGGCTGGTCTCGAACTCCTGAGCTCAAACAATCTGCCCGCCTCGGCCTCCCAGAGTGTTAGGATTACAGGCGTGAGCCACCACGCCCGGCCCCAGCCCTCTTATTTCACTTCAGTTACATTGATTCCTTGAAATCTCTCCAGAAAGAAGTAGACAAATGATAAAAATCAAAATTTTAGGCTATGAGATGGTTGGGAGTAGGGCTGGTAACAGTTTAGGGAGAAAGAAGGAAATGATAGGAATATTAGCTGAATAAAGGGAACAGGTTGGGTAAGATGAACTAGAGTAGAGAAGTGTTGTCAGGCATCCCTCCTTGACTTGGACGGTTTTCAGTGAATTGTTGGGCTTCCCCTGAGCTTTCAGAGGACATACCTTGATGGGAGGCTTACAAGGAAGATTACAAGGAAGCTGACACAGGAATAGTGCTTGAGAGGTAAATGTGGCCTTGAAACAGTAGTGGACCTCTTGGGGAGATATGAAATAACTGATAGGAGGACTAGATAGGGAAGGAAACCAGTGGGAGGAATGAAAGCAACTTTGGGCAACACACAGGTGAAAGTTTAAATGGTGCTTATCTCAGGGAGCCAAAAAGAGAGGCTCTGAGTAAAATCTTGAAGGACATTTATGGAGATTAGGAAGTGAAAGCAAAAGGACATGAAGTACTCCATAGTGTTTACTTTGAAAGCCTTAGGATTCCTTCCGTCCCTTCCTCTGTTCTTCCTTCCTTCATTCCTTTTGAGAGTGGGTCTGGTTCTGTTGCCCGGGCTAGAGGGCAGTGGTGAACCCACTGCAACTTCAAACTCCTAGGCTCAAATGATCCTCCTGCCTCAGCCTCCAGCCCCAAGTAGCTGGACTACAGGCGTGGGCTACTACACCTGATTTCTTTAGCTTATACTGTATTAGTAGATGATCATTCACACATTAATCCATAACATCACAGTAACTCTAAGGGACCGTTGGCCAATTCCCTCATTTTACAGAGAAGAAAGCAGGCAAAATTGACCTTGACCTGAATTGACCCCGAATTCTCTATTTTATATATTAATAATTATGTTTGCTTCCCAGATAAACCATTTGTTGCCGAAGGGCAATAATAATGTTCACTACATTTGCAGTATTTTCCCCCTCCCCTCATCCCCCGGGGCCAATTTCGTGCTATACACGCGGTAGATACTTAAAACTGCCCAAAAGGTAGGTCAATATATACAAATTTGTAACCACACCTGAACAACAACAACAAAAATACATATCAATTGATCAGTACAGTGATCAAACAGTAAATGAGTTAACAACTCTTGGGTTTCCCTTGTGGATGGAATGAGGTGGGATTTTGAGGCCTTTTAATCACCTCTTGATTTCCTCAATAATTTTCACAGAGGATCCTTGAATAAGATGGGCGTGCTACTGTGTCTGACCCAGGGGTGTAACAGCCGCAGAACCCTCTGTGCAGGCTCTAAGTGGTCAGGCAGCGTCTATAACTCCCCGGAAAGTGGAACCCTCCGCGGCCGAAATGAGTTGGCCAGGCCCACAGCCAGCCCAGGGAGCCGGCGCGGACTCCGACCTCCGCGTGCCCGGGGCTCTGCAGTTCCGGGCACAGTCCGGCGCGCCCGGGGCGGGGCGTGTGTGTCAACTCCAGCTCGGTTCCCCTGCGCCCTCCTCCCAGAGCCACGCCCGCACTTCGCGCAAGCAGCCAGTCGGCCCTCTCGGGAGCGGGCGCGGGGCGGGGCGGGGCGCGGGAGGGAGCCAGCTGGCTGGCTGGCGGGCTGCGGAAGGCGGGGCTCGCGTGCGCACCAACGCTTCCTCGCACAGCGTTGCCCCTGCGCGCGCGGCTGGTCGGCCCGCGGCGGCGCTGCGTGGATCCGGCGTCGGGGCCCGGCATGGCGGGGGCCGGGGCCAGGCCGGGCCGGACCCGGACCTAAATGCCTCTGCTCTTCTCCGCGCTGTTGGTGTTGCTGCTGGTTGCGCTTACCGCCCTCTTTCTAGGCCGGTGAGGGGCTCCCGGCCACAGCGGGCGGGGGAAGGAGGAAGAAGGACTGAGGAGGGGGCGCGCGCTGGACAGAGGAGCGGGAGGCGGAGGGGGTGGGGCAGAGGAGGGGGCGCGCGGCGAGGGGAGGGCCTGAGCAGCCCTGCGACCCGAGCTGCCCGGGATGGGCTGCCAATGTGGGGGGAGACTGAGGGAGCGGGTGGGGCCTGAGGAAATGCTGAGGTCGGGAACTGAATAGGTGTGTGTGAGGAAGGGGCTTGGTTCGGTGGTCTCCCTTTCCCTCCCCCACATGCCCCTCAATGTCCTCTTCACCAAGGGCGAAGTGCACTTGCAGCCTCGCCCTGGGGAGCGGGACAGGAGGTCTGGTTATCCAGGGAAGAGCGGCATTTGAGTTGGTTCTGACCCCGGAGGGCCTTCTTGTGGACACCTGTCTGGAGGGTCGGTGGAGAAACTGAGACCCTTTGGGGAGTGTGTGATGGATGGCACATCTGACAGAGCTGCCTCTGCTTTGATTCCTGCTAGGGCCTCTTCTCTCTACCTCTGGGATTCCTAACGATTTGAGAGATTGCTTTTTTTGTTCCCAACTTAAGAGTGGAGTTTAGCGTGTGTGATTTCCTCTGGGTGGAGGGGTCCCTGGGGCTAGGATCCTGATCATTGTGGCTGAATGTGTATGATAGACTGGTGCTTTGGGAAGGAAAGTTGTGCAGAAAATCCAGTTGCAGAACATGACCCTTTGCAAGGCTTTCTGTGGCCAGCAAGGATGTGGGAAGCCCTTGGGAGAGGGTCCTATGAATTCACAGGGAGTTTTCTGCAGGTGGCTTGCGGTCCGGTGGGCCACCAAGTGGTGTCAGCGGAATCTGCAGGCGGAGCTAAAGATTGGCTCCTTCCGCTTTTTTTGGATCCAGAATGTCAGTCTTAAGTTTCAGCAGCACCAGCAAACAGTGGTGAGTTCTGGGGAGACTCCCTGGGGTGTGTGTGTGGTTGAGCCAGCTGAATTTCAACTTTTAATTTCCTTTTTTTAAATCCTGGGTGCCTTTTTTAATCATCCTTGCCATCTTTTTACCAAGATGATCTTAGAGCTAGTTGGGGAACACTGGGATTGATGTAAGTCGTTCAGCTAAAAATGTTTATAGGGCACAGAATGTCCAGAGCACATAAGAAAGAATCAGAAGTAAAGCATAGAAGAAAGATAACGGGAAATAAAAGACCTCACTGTTCTAATTTAAGAGGGGAATCAGGGCAGCATACCCATAAAAGAGAAATTCTAAGCAAGTTAAACTAACGTCATCAGGCGAGTGCTGAGCAGAGAAGCCAGTGGCAATGGAATGGCACAAATATAGTGGAAGTGCCTATAGCAATTCCTCTTCTTCTAGAACCCAGAACCTTTCTTGGCTCGTCAAGCTGCTCATTGCTTACCTAGCAGCTAGTGTACAAAGCTTTCTCCAATACTGTTTTAGGAAATTGATAACCTGTGGATTTCCAGCAAACTCCTTAGCCATGATCTGCCGTGAGTACCTTATATCCTTACTTCTCC